ATATAAATAAGACTTCAAGGTGACTGTTCCGTCTAAGAAAACAGTCTTTTTCAAGCACTTTGAATACCACTTTAGCTGTATTCACTTGTATATAAATCATGAGCTAATTTATTCATTAAAATATCCTGTACTTGGCAACATTTTATTAACCTCAGTTTATGCTAATAAGAAAAGTGCTTATAATTTTTCTAAATGCATCTCTTCATAATTATTCCATAATTTTGATTTTCTTCAAGTAGGAGTAAGCCCTTACCAACCTCCACGGCCCATTCCACATTCAATGAAAATAAATCCAGATTATAATATTATAGGATTATAGGTTGGGAAAGCTCAAATTTGGGAGAAAGCCTATTCCCAAACCTAGCTGTGTACCAGAATTTCCTGGGGCCTTCTTTATATGTACATAATTACTGATTGTTGAGCACTTCAAAAATGTATTGGCTTGGAATCTCCAGGGCCGAGACTTCCTGGGAACTTAGTGTTCAGCGACTGGTTCGCCGGTTAGCTTTTAGGCATCTGTGGCTATCCATTTCAATCCATTTCAATACTACCCAGGTCCACTGCAGCTTTGGGCAGCACACACATACACAAACACAGGAAGCATGACACAGAGAAAGAGGTCCTAAAGGCATGATAGTCACCTTAAATGAGACTTTAAATGTCATTATTGATAGCAGAATTCTCATTCTTTATTTTTCGAGTCTGGGTAGCCTGTCATGTCAATTGTTGTTAATGTTAGGGGCACCGAAGTCAGTTTCAATTCACAATCACACTGCATACAACAGAATGAAACACTGGTCCTGTGCCATGTTTGTGACTGTTGTTATGTTCGAGCCCATTGTTGGAGCCTCTGTGTCAGTTCGTCTCATAGACGGCTTCCTCTTTGGAGCTGACCTTCCACTTTCCCAAGGATGATATCCTTTTCCAAGCACTCGTCTCTCCTGTTAACATGTCCCAAATAGGTGAAATGAGTTCTAACTATTCTCACTTCTAAGGGACATTATGGCTGTGCTGCCTGGGGGACAGATGTGCACGTTCTTCATCAGTTTGCAGGGTTTCAATAACCTTCCCCAGTACCATCATTCACACACATCAATTATTCTCCTGTCTTCCTTACCCACTGTCTTGATTTCACAAACATAAGGTGATTGAAAATTCCATAGGTCCGGTCAGACCCATCTTAGTCCTTGAAGTGAGGGACACCTTTGCTCTTTAACACTTTAAAGATGTCTTTGGCAGAAGAGTTGCCCAATGTAATCCATCGTTTGATTTACTGCTTGCTGCCTCCATGAGCACGGATTTGTAATTGAAGTAAAATTAAATCCTTGACAATTTCAATCTTTATGGTCTAATGTGAGGATTTTGGATTTCTTTATGTTGAGTTACAATCCATATTGAAGGCTGAAATCCTGGATATTCCTCAGTTTTTCAAATCTTCTTTGCTTTCAAGAAGCAAGGCTGTGTCATCTGCCTATCATATATTGTTAATAAGCCATGTTCCACTCCTGGTTGCCTTTTCTCTTATGAAGAGCCCAGCTTCTTGAATGATTTGCTCAGCATATGGACTGAATGAGTATGGTAAAAGGATAGACGCCGAGGCAGACATTTCCTGATGTTAAACCATGCAGCATTCCTTTGTGTTTTGGTGTTTCTGTGTACAAGAACTACGGGAACACAGTGAAGTGTTCTAAAATTCCCATTCTTCACAATGTTATCTGTAAGGTGTTATGGTCAGCACAGTGGAATCCTTTCACAGTCAATAAAACACAAGCAAACATATTTCTGGTGTCTTCTCATTAGTTCTTGACCAGATGCTACTGCTTTGACTTGGGGCATGCAGACTAATTCTTTTTGGAATAGTGACTCTTTATGCCTTCCATCTTCTTTAGGCATTTCCAGCATAATTCAAGATTTTGCTCATAGAATCCATCAATATAGCAACCCAGGCTTCCGTTTATTTTCCTTGGTTATTTCAGTTTGAGATAGGTTGAGCTTGATTATCTTATCTGGTTTTCTAATCCAGGTATTTGCATATTTCATTATAATGCTTTACGTTGTCTTCTCTAGCTACCCATCGAATATTTCTGTTTAGTTCTTTTATTTCTGTACTTTTTCCATTCAATTTAGATTCTCTATATTCAAGAGCAAGTTCTGGATCGCTTCTGAAATTCACTTTCATCTTTATCTTTCTGTCCTGTATTTTAAGTGACCTTTTGTTTTCTCCATGTATGATGATGTCCTTGGTGTCATCCCATAATTCATCTAGTCTAAGGTAATTAGTGTTCAACGTGTCAAATCTGTTACTTAAATGAGCTCTAAATTCTGCTGGGTTATACTCAAGGTTGTGTTTTGGCTCCCATGGACTTAATTTAATTTCTTCATCTTCAAATTGAACTTGCATATGAACAATTGATAGATGGACTTTGATGATATTGAGCATCTCCAATGTTTCTTCCCACAGATGCCGTCAAATTGATTCCTTTGCATTCCACATGGTAACATCCATGTGCATGATAGCTAAGTTTTGTGTCAATTTGGCTGGGCCAGGATTCCCAGCAGTGCAGCAGTACAGCCTCCCCCTTAAGGTGCAAGTCACAGCCTGATGGTGTGTCCTTGACGTATGGCCTATTCAAATTTATAAAGAGAACTCTCGCTCTCTTTCATTTGTGCCTGACTGAATCTTGTATCTGTGCCAGTGGCTTGGAATATTGACTTCTGATCCTGGGCGCTATCCGCAACCTGACATAGCATCTGATCCGTAAATCTGCCAATATGCCACTGCCTCCACAAGCCTCTGATCTTCTAGCTTCCAAGATTTCCCGCTTCTTGACTTCCTGGCCCACCAGCTACTGGCAGCCACAGGAGGAAGGAAAAGTCTCCAGTATAATATCTGACAATAACACTGGACATAACCACTTCTGCAACTGTATGAACCATTTTGCTTGATATAAACATCTCTCTTTATGCACATATATATGTCACTGGTTTTTCTTCTCTAGAGAACCTATTCTAAACTAATGTGTATTATAACTGTTTTCCTTAATGAAAAAGATATTAGCAAGGCCATTCGCAATGGTTACAAACTTCCATCTCATCATCTCCAGCTTCATTTTTATCAACAGGGCAATATTTTTCAACTATTATAATATTTTCAACTATTATTCCTTTGTTTCCAACTTCCCCATTCCAATCACATGTGATTACTTTGATTGCAGATTTGATCAATACCAGGCCAAATAAGTTGATAGAATTCTTCAATTTCTTCATCACTAGCTTTGGTGATTGGTGCAGAACTTTGAATAACAGTTGTATTAACTTCCCTACAGGTTTGCAGATGTTACTGCACACAGGGTTGTACTGTAAGATAGGTTTTGAAACATTCTTTTGGACAATGGATATCATCACATTACTTTGGAATTTACCATTATTAACAAAGGAAACTATATGTCTGTCTGCCTCATAGTTGCCAATCTTCTGACAACTTCCAATTTTCCAAGACTCATACTGTGTACATTCTGTGTTCCAGTTATTTACAGATGATTACAGCGGTTCCTTTTCATTTTGAGTTATGCCTGGTTAGCAAAAGAAGGTCATGAAAGCTTTGCTCCAACCATGTCATTTAAAACGGACTCTACTTTGAGGAGGCAGTTCTTCTCCGGTCGTATTTTGAGTGCCTTCCTACCTGAGGGGCTCATCTTCCAACTCTGTATCTGACCATGTTCCCCTTCTATTCATGAGAGTTTCAGTTGCTAGTCCCTCAGAAATGGACTACTTATTTTTCCTTGCTCTTTTGTCCTTAGTCTGTTGGGCCCACTGATACTGGTACACTAGGGGTGACCCTGCTGGCATCTGAAATGCTGGTGGCATAGTTTCCAGCAACACTGCAACACACAAGCCATCCCAGTATGACAAATGGATAGACACATGAGGATGGTAGCATCTAGTTACCTCAAAGAAACTGTGAAGACAGATCAATGCATAAACAAATATTTTCATCAGATGCATGTGATAAGCAACCAAAATAAAGCATATATGTATATTTAAATACACATATATGGATAAACATATACATATGTTTATACATAAACATATATACATATCTTTGGATCATTCTCGAAAGAGTACAATAGGTGTATTGAGTAGATGTCTAACTCGGCAACTTTCTAACACCCAAGGTAGATATTGTTCATCAATCACAGCACTTTTCCAGAAACAGCTTAAATGTCTTTTTCAGCCAAGCATTCCAAGGAACCGTGCCACACAATCAGCTTTTACATGGGGAAAATATACTTGTCCTTCTAAGAGTACATAGATGGAAAAACCATTTCCATCTTACATTTTGACCCAGTGCGGCACAAACACCAAAGGTCTCTCATGTAGACGTCACCCAAAGAGCTGACCCTCTAGCTCTTGCTGACGCGTGTCTGTGGTGATTGCACTTCTATGTATTTGAATGGAAATTCTCAGAAGTTCATTAACTGTTCGATATTGATGACACCAGTTACATTTACCTCCTTCAAACCAAATGTACATTCTGCTGATGACAATTCAAAGTTCAACTCTGAATAAGTGTTATTTGAATAGATAAACTGAGTTCCAAAGGTGTTTGGGAACTCATTATATTAAATGACTGAAAGAAAAGAAAATGGATCTAGATCTGTGTCCCCATGAGTGGCACTGTAGGACTTCTCCATTGAGAGTCTCTAAGCCATGTCCTTGTGCAACATATAGTTAATGCCAAGGTCAATTGTAAAGTAGAAATCACAAGGACTTGGTTTCTGATCATATTCATGTAAGAATGAAAAATCATTAAAATTAATATTCTTAAGTTTCCATAATGGCCCTGCTTGACTCCTTGGGCTCTGTCCCTACTTCCCAAATTACACTGGGTAGAATTTCTTTAAGAGCAGATCTGGGTGATCCACAGTTCATTAGGCTGTTTCCATCACACTGACACGACCCCTATGATCAATCCATAGGATGAGAAAGAGCAGACCCACCTCATCATAGACGCTGTCATTTCTGCTGAAGTCTCCAGTCTTCCTGGGGAGAATGTGGACATGAACATGCTGAAACGGTACAAGAAAGAGAGAGACAATAAAACGTAACTATCTTTCCTTATATTTTTAGACTTGACAGTGATGCTTCACGAAGCCCAATTACTCCACATTGGGTCCTGGTGGATTATTTTTCAGAGGAAAACGAAGTTCACCCTCAGTCACTCGATCTGAAATGTGCTGAGAACAGAGAGGCACCAAACAAGAGAACACCGCGGTGGCGAATACGAGGGTTGGAGTGAAATGCCAGGGTGTGTGAGGGGCCTGTGGAATTGATCCTCGTTGTCAGTCTCCGTTGTATTTAACCAGAGCTTTGAAATGACAGCCCGTCTTACAAGGTGACCATGGCGACTCTGAAACTGACAAGAAAGAAGTGACTTACAGAAAACTGCCTGAGGAAAGAGAAAACGAGAAGGCCCGAGGAGGAGGATAGGCTGCGGGATCGAGTCGGGGTTCCAGTAGGAATCCTAGAGCAGGTCTTACTCCCTACCGTACCCAAAACGCGGTGCCCGGCACTGAGCTCACTTCGTGTCCTTCGTCATCCTGTGAAAAGAGTTGTACTACGGTGCCCACTTCCCGATGGGGAAAGAACGAAAAACGAAACCCTGGCTGCTCCAAAGAGGAAGGCACCGTTGGCAAGGGTAGAATGGCCACAGCGAGCCCGATAGTCAGATTCCCGTACCCGTGCTCGTCAGCAGCACACGCACTGGGTCTGCCGACTGAACAGGCCATTTCCCTAGTCCAGCGGTTCTCAACCTGTGGGTCACGACCCCTTTGGGGGCTGAACGACCCTTTCACAGGGGTCGTCCAATTCCTAACAGTGGCAAAGACAGTGATGAAGTAGTAACGAAAATAATGTTACGGTTGGGGGTCAGTCACCATCACATGAACTGTATTCAAGGGTCGTGGCATTAGGAAGGTTGAGCCCTTCTAAGGCTGCGAGGTATTAAACATAGAAATGATAATATGCAGAGATCTTGCATCAAGGCACACAGCCCAGCTAATTCAATATATTCTTCGAGGCTAAACTGCCATTTAAAAGTTTTACTTTCTAAATAGCCTCTATCGTATGTACCTCGGCTGAAGTGCAGCCTCACTCCTGCCCTTGAGCTATGTCCCAGAGGTTATTACAAACTGTGCAGAAGAATGTGGAAATCAAAAGCCTAAATATGGAGAGGCAGACACAGAATCACACCTCATCCCCTGATTACGCCCACCCCGTCTCAGTGACCATGATCAGGCTCCGCGCCTCCAAAAGGCCTCCGGAGAAGGCGAGATTAAGTGTCCCTATGGCTTTGCTGCCCAAGGAGGGAACCTGATATGCTACTAAAGCGGAGACAGGGAGCAAGGCCGTCCAAGGTGAACAGAGTGGAGAGGAGCTTCCCATTACCCCTGCTTGCACAGTCCCCAAAGAGAGGCGTGGTTTTTGCCAGAATAGTCTCCAGCCAATGATGACATCAGTCATGGATCCCTCAGCAATTGGGGGAAGTGTGTGCTTCACTGACCTTATGTGTGCCCTTTCAGCACATCTGTTCTGCCTTTCCTTCCTCCCACCGTCCTGCCTGACCCTATCTTGCCAATAGGGTGGGGACCAAGTTGTTACCTGCTTTACCTGTCCTACAGCAGTACTTGAGGCTAATAGCTAAGTGCTCCCCTGGTTTCCTGTATTACTTTGATCAGCCTTTGCCTTGCTCTTCGGGGCATGCCTGCTACTGTCTGTCTACTATTGACATGTCTGGATGTGGACTTCGAGGAATCTCCTGGGTCCAGTAGCATCTTATCCGATCCCCTTTCCTTTGTTTTACCTCATTTTCCTGGATTCAGTGTTGAGAGACTTTGCTATAGGTTTTATTACCATCCAGTTCTGGAAATGCCACTTTGGATCACTGATAACCATTTGAAATTCACTGTGGCACCAAAGACATCAAGCAGCTCAGTCTAAGGGCATAGATTTCATCCCAACCTGGTATCTTCACGCAAATTCTTAAGTGACGGGCTGATCCAGGAGTCCTGACAACACACTCAACTTCTCAAACCGGGAAAATGATGATACAGCCTGCTCAGATCTCACAGCTGTGAAGGAATACCGTGACCATGGGCTTCCAATAGAACGACCTTCAGATAAATAGGACCTTATAACACCAGAGATGGGGATAACGCAACATAATGGTTTCCATGAATTCGTGTCGAGCCTTGGTGGTCCCAACTTAAGTGATAACACCTAAGAGAAACCAAACCAATTGCTGTTGAGTTGATTCTGATTCATAGCACCAAGCAGAAGTGCCCCACAGGGTTTCCAAAATCATAAACCTTTACAGGAGCAGACTTCTGAAGTTTTCTTCTGTGGAGTAACTAGTGGGTTCAAACGCTGGCCTTTCCCGGAGCAGCTGCGTACATTCACGACTGTGCCGGCAGGGCTCCTTTAAATGCTGACAAACCATCTACTTCATAAAAAGCTTCAAAATGTTGCTTGGAATTGCAGTTTAGCTGCTTGGATTTGAAGAATATATTTAAAGCTTCATGATACACTCCCTCACAGACCCGTTTTGTGGTCTATTTTTTACCATGTTTCCTGAGTCTAGCATTGCAGTGTTATTTATATTAGCTAACAAAAGTTGAAACAGCCCAAATACCTAGCAAATGATGGAGGAATAAGCAAACTGTGGCATAGCCAGACAATGGAGCGTGGGTTGGCCACAAACAGGCAGAAAGCACAGCTAAGTGCAGGAAGCCAAACACAAAAAGCCGCGTTCTGTGTGTGCTCATTCATGAAGCCAATAGGGGAGGCACAATGCGGCTGTCAGAGGCTGGCACTGCTGGCGACCGAGACAGTGAGTGACTCCTAGTGGGTAGTGTTTTCTTTTCGGAATGATGAAAGTATTCCAGAATTAGAGAGTGGTGATGGCTGTACATCTCTGTGACTATGTGAAAAGTCATTTAATTGTGCATTATAGAATGGAGAGTGGTATGGGATATGAGTTAACTCAATAAAGCGATTATTCTAAATAAATACTTAAGGGCAATGCGTGTGACAGAACATTTGAGATGAAGAAGCAAAAGAGTCAACACAAATAACTCTTTCAAAGGGTTTTTGTGTAAAGGGAATCGAAGAAGTCAACGGCAATAGATATAAGAGGGAAGAAATCACGTTTGGGGACATATTCGTGCAAGTTCCCTGAACCTTCTGGTTTCTATAGCTACTATCATGATCAGTAGTCGGTCGTGCAGGTTGTTAACATTTACTGCCTGCACATTGCATGCCCTCCTTGTGACGATTCTCTTCATTATTTCAACGAATCCCTACAATATTTCTATTGCGATCATTATTGTCAGTTGCCAAAACTGCTTCACAGGGCTTTCAAGACGGCGACCTTGTGGAAGTCGGTGACCAGGCTTGTCTTCAAAGGAATTCACTTTTTTCTCCTCATTTTATTTTATTTTTTATTTTATGTTTTTAAATCATTGTATTGGGGCTCATACAACTCTTATCACATTCCATACATACATCAATTGTGTAAAGCACATTTGTACATTCGTTATGCTCTTCATTCTCGAAACATTTGTTCTCCACCTCAACCCCTGTCATCTGCTCCTTTTCCCCTCCCTCCCTGTTCCCCCCTCCCTCATGAACCCTTG